TGGCGGCACCTGGGGACCAGTCGGGTAGTCCATTGAATCCGCTTGTCTTTTATGCATGTGTTGTTGAGTGTTGATATGGCTGTCCGACTGCTTGTGATTCAGTTCCACCTTCCGTTGAAATCTTAGAACTCGAGCATGGGTGGTTCTCAGCACACTGAACATGCTGATATCCAGGGATGCCGGCCTCCCCGACAGCCAACAGTTCAGCACGCAGCTTTTCGGCTTGGTTCGCCGGGACCTCCTTGACAGTGCATGGCAGTGCCCACTCCTGAACCGACAGCAGCTGCTGAGTCCGCAACATGCTTGGCCAGCATTGAAGTCGTTCGAGCTAGATCATGGACTTCTTTCAACCTGACTGAGAGGATGCGGCCCTGGCACAGCCTGTTGTCAGGACAATTCTCAGCCGAGTGCATATTTTCCTGATGCTCCTTGACCTTCTGGACCTACCCAGCAGCTCCGGCCATGACGGAACTCACTCAGGGCGACGTGTCAAGACGAGATAAGCCCTTTTCCAAGCACTCTGCTTCGACTCATGAGCATGCCCAGCCGCTTGCTTGTGCTTGAATTGCTGGACCTTGTGAAAGACCACCGACGTTTCGTCACCTACCGACCTCTTTGGGCTGTATGCAAAGCTCGTCTAGGACGAGAATGCAGACTTCAATGATTGAGATTCGATGAATCGACCGGCACCTCAAAAACACACTTCTGATTACATACATCTAAACCACGGCACCATCAGCTTGCATTAAGCTTAGACACATCTTGATGTGATGTGTCAGTCAAAGCAGAAAAGTACCAACAGCAAACACGTCCACCTCTAAATGGCGTCAAGCGCCAGGCTTCCGCATCAAACAGCGTGCTTTGCATCTGCCTCCGGCAATGAGTAGGCTGTGCGTTTACGAAGAAGCCTCCTCATCACTCACCATGTGCTCATGCAGTTCTGGGTGCGAAAAGCCAATGCGTAGTCCCTCCGGAAGTTTTGTCAAGGCGAAGACTACCAGGAGGAACAGCGCGGTGGAAGCCAAGATCCCCAGACCTACCAACCAAGCGAAACTGGTGCCCTGAAGCACTGTGCCGGGATATGGCTGCCTTCCCAGAAGATCCCGAGAGGCTGCAGAAGGCGATAAGATCATTGACACAGCTTTGAATGCTTTGGTTGCGTCCACGTGCAGACGTCTCAGTTCGGACTCATTCCACTCATGTGGCTCGCCGACTACGTCCGCATACCAGTCCGGCAAGTACATGTCCGTGGGAAAGAAATAGAATTCCGCAGGCAGGGCATCATCTCCCAACGCGTTCTGGTACATCTCACTCTGAGGGTACTGTGGCAGATTGTTCCAATAATACGGATACTGGGGAACGAAAGTACGAAAATGTGCAAGCTGCCTCTTCATGGGACCCAAACCGGCCCATTCGGCAGCAAGATACCCTAAAGCTGCAGCGGAATAGATGGGGTTGTACAATTGCGCCATGGCGGCCATCATCAAGTTCCCTCCAGGAAATGACGTCGCTGACAGCGTGCCCTGTGCATCGTCAAAGGATCCACCAAGTCCACCGAAAGTTACATAATTTATCTGCAGCCTCGAACCTCCATGATGCTGCTGCTTCTTCGCAATCATGTACGCAGTCCGGGAGAACGTGTCACATGATGATCCGCAACCGCCGTCAGACACAAACAGAATGTTTGTAAACGGATGCTCTAGCCCTCTAAATGCATCAACAAATTTTTGGGTAAATGCCAAAACGCAGTCCTCAATGCGAAAGAATTCTGTCAGCTTAACGTTAGGCTTGCCGCCCCGTCGCGCCGTTCGCGCAGACTTGAATGGATCGAACGGGGTGCCATTTGCCGCATAACCGTCAAGATATAGCGAGAAAGGATTTCCAAAACTCTCAGCTGATGCAGTCAGGATCTCAAGAGTCCCGCGCAAGCTCTCCTCGTCCACCTCCCCTGTGTCCAAGGAATCGATGGCAGACTGGATTTGCAGCACGTCGTCCATGTCCAAAACATCCATCTCCATGCAAGCCTTGGTGATTTTCTGCAAAACTGACTTCATAGCTGCCTGCTCCTCTGGAGTCATCTGCTTCAAGCGTTGCCGGATGGCCGTGTCATCGTCCATGAAAGCTGCTAGGGGGGTGGTGTCGACCTCCCTCCAAGCCTTGTACAGAGATCCCACAGGCCTGTCGTATGTGTTGCACACCTGCTGGAACTCCAAGAACGGGTACAGTGCCCGAACGAGCAAATATGCAAGATCCACGAAACCACCGGCATTTCCGGCGACGTCAATCAACAAGCGATCCACGCCCCTTTCCTTTGCTGTGTACACCAACTCCTTCCAGAAGCTGACAAACTCCATCTTGGCATCGTAGCCAACAGATCCCGTTGAGCTAACGTAGAGGCGGCTGAGCTTGAACACTGCGAAGACTTTGCCACCCTCGTCTTCTTGAAACTCGAAGTAGCCATAAGAGGCCCCGAGCGGACTGGCGGCAGGGTTTAATAGCCAGCGGCGTGGAGGCAAAGCCTCAGTCTCTAATTACACGACGGCAACTTCAAAACTTGCCGTAACGACAGACTGGCTCAGTGCCCTGCAAGAAGGCTGACAGCCTGACCTGCGCGCTCCCTGAGGTTGCATGGTGAAGCGGGTGCTGTCAACCGCGGAACCGTGCAACAAGCAAGCCACATCTGATCCGCGAGTGCCTGAGACCCAGATGTGCAAGCACTCGCCGATGCGCCTGCGGCTGTTGCATGCATTAGATCAAGCACCAGCTTTGCCACAGCAAAGGAGAAGGGCAAGACTGACCTGTTCCTCGGAACTCTCCCTGCACATCCGTTTTCTGCCTCTGTGCCAGGGATGTTCTCCTCCTGGATCCGAAGCAGTGCCCGCAGGCTAGGCTCCTCGACAGGTTTCCGCTGAGGCGGTGCTCGGGAAAAAGGCGAGCCGGTGTGCGCAGTTTGACAAATCCAAATATCTCCTTTCGGAGAAGCTCGACCATGTCCGCATCTGCCGAATGTACCATCACCTGCCATGCAGTCGTCATGCAAGAGAACGTGGCAGCAGCAGCTTGGGCGCTCGACATTCGCGGATCTGCGGCCGTCGGCATGTCTCGAGGACCTTGCAAGCAGGAAAGCAAGCCGTCCAAAAAGCAGAAACACAGCAACGCCTCTCTTTCACGTAACTACTCTGCACGGCTGAGTGCATGACAGTTGGGAGGCTGCCTGCACGATGACACACGTCTTGCGAGTTTCGGATGCTTCACCCGACACAACACTAGTCTAGAATTACCTTCCGCGAGCCGGCGTCGCCTGAAGTCTTAAGCAAAGGCTCTGACTGCTCCGAACGACGGACCCGCCGTGCAACCGGCCTCTGCTGCATGCTGAAAGAGCGCGCTGGAGTTTGTCAGGTGCGCCTGACGGCTTCAAGCCTTTCGGCTTGCAGCATGGGATCTGTAGGCAGGAGCACCGTCACCGAAACACCACTATTTGCGACTAAAGTCAGAGAGCCATGCAGTAGGCTTCGAAATTGTTACATGCCTTGATTTTTGCTGCCAGGATGTCGCTGCTGTCATGTTGCACTCAGCAGACTGCACCTCCAGAAACTTGACGGCGCAAGCTGCATCGAAGAGCTTGCACCTAGTGAGAAGGCAAAACTTCCCTCAAGAGGCCGAAGCCTCAACCACTTCTTGCTCGCCTAGGCTTTGGACGAGCTTGCGGAGCCATTATGGGTTTGCTGACGTGGACTAGTCGGGTTTGAGCTGGAGTAACCTTCGCGTACGGCAGAAGACTGTAACACTACAGCACGCATCAGGTTCTTGTCGACGATGCCGGCTGGGCCGTGCCCTGATGATGGTCCACAGTTCCTTCTATCCTTATAGCCGTACTGAACAACAATCCCACATCACGCGCCAAAGTGTGTCAAACCTCTGAATGTTAAAGGATGGAGTGCGATGCGCCGCGTGCTGCTTGTTCTAGAAACCAGGTTTCATGACTTCCAGGACGCCGTCTCTACCCGTCTCTCCTATTGAAGCTGGCTTCCGCTTCGGAACTTGACGACCGGATGTTGCTTTCACAAAGCAGCCAGAAAATCGGCAGTAGAACACATGGACGTGAACTTCGCGCTTTACCCACTGAAGGACCCCACGATGCCAAGTTCCTGGTCAGCCACAGCCATGTCCAACTCCATGTACAAGCCTCACGTTGCGGCACGAACAGAGCCATTTCCGGCTGAGACAAGATCGAATTTTAACTCCAAGCATTCCGACTTCTTCTTTGGACGTTGAAACATGCGCAACCTACGTCGACTTGCGAAGTTGTGGTATCGGTCGGTGGTTGTACTGGACTTCTTTTGATTCCAGCGTTCGCTTGTCTTGGCTTCTGAACCGCCCGAACTTGGGCATCGGCCGAGCCGTCAGCAAAGCTCACCTTGAAGCAAAAAGAAAGCACCGAATCCAGCAGCCAGCTTGGTCCAAACTGTGACCGTCACGTTGACCGAGGGCTTCAGTGAAGACACATCGCCCACATTGCTGCCCAACCTCGCTTACCAACTCAGAATCGCATACAACGGCCTTCGAACCGGGGGACAAGGCCATGCAAGACCAATCCGCCCCAACTTGAAGAAGCTGTTGGCCCGTGGACCTGGGCAATGTCATTCAAAGTGCTGCCAGGAGAATTCCAAAAAAACAACGCCCTGCAGCATGGTTCGGGTATGCAGACTTCTGGGAAACAGCCTGGCAGCATCGAGAGCCTTTCGAAGCTTTCTGCGGCTCTTGTCATTGTTTGAGCAGTGCCAAGCCATTAAACCCGGCTATGGCTTATTCCGAAGTTCGCACAACGTCGTCCATAGATAAACCCAAAGGGGCAGCTCAAGATGCTTTCACACGAAGAAGTGTAGATCCTGAGCCTAAGCAAAGAAGCAGGTTACGAGAGGGGATGGCCGATTCTGCCATCGGCCTGTGCGCATGGGGTCTCGGAGGGCAACAATTGGTGCGGTAACGAATGCTGGAGGCTTGCCCATTGCCAGAGTCTTCGTGCACAGGCCTCATCACGACGATGACTTTTGATTGCTTGCTTCAGGCTTGCTTGCGGGCACTATCACAACGAGCGGGAAAGCCGACCCCAGACACAGTGACGGAAATTGTGGGCTAACCCGATCGGCCGAGAGGTTCTCCTTCTGAAATCATGTTTTGCATGCCTTGTCTGTAGTAATTATTACACAACCCTGGACCTCAGCTGCACCCGTGCCACTACTGCACCTCAATCGGGCAAACTGCTTGGATTTGTCCACGCAGGTACACTCGAAACCAAGGCAAACACGGGATTCAGTCGAAGCAAGACATCTGAGTTACAAATAATGCCAGACGTGCGCAACCTGCCAAATGCAGGACTTCAGCGAGACAGTTCGGAATTCGGCGCTCCACTCTTCGTGGCAGACAACGGACGAGGAACGAACGTTGTCTGCACGAGCGAGACACAGTCAAACACACAAGCAAGCAGCTCCGAAACCAGCATGTGCACCGGAGATCCCCAGAGACTAAGAACGGTATAAAGCAGCAAAAGTCGCCCCGCCTACATGATTCCGAACAAGCACGACCGCCCTGGGGCCAGGCCCGAGGCTCTCACCAACGCTCTTGAAGCCGTAGTTGAAGGCCGGATTCTCTAGCACGTGTAGCCGGAACCACCTGGGTTCTAAACCCTTCAGCATCAAGATTCTGCAACTCGAGCACATGGACTGGCACCTCATGGGTTGCAGCCCATCAATGCTGGCAATCTCGCCACCCTCAGACAGGAACCTCAGAGTCTCTATGGCTCCTTGCTGTCAGTACGGTATCGTATAGCCGTGACTGGCCATGACCCAAGCCTGGGTGCTGCGAAGCCGTTGACAACGACGGCGTCTCTTGCAGCTACCTGTAAACGAGTCTGAGGCTTCGCCACGCGAACTTGCACTTCTGCAACATCTGCAGAAAAGTTGCCACAGCCGCTGAGTCCCCTCTCCCCACAGAGGGCCTGAATGCGCACTGCCTTCTGCGCGCGGTCATCTTGCAACATGAAGATGAACTGGTTCAGTATGGAGTCGACCTGCGTGATTATCAAGAGCATGCGACAGTTAAAGCTCCGAAACGCATTGGGGTCCTTGGTGCCACCGTTTCGCCAGTCAACGTGGGAATCTCGAAGCCTGCAGCTCTAATTCTTGAGGCAATGCTGGCCAACCGCAGCATGAGCACCCGCAGCCTCGCAAAGATCGAGTTGGCAGGAAGATACCAATCTGTCAAGCCTGGTTTGCTCGGAAGCGATACCTCGGAAAGTTTTGAAGGCATCCTCAAGGTACGTCCAGGGTAGATTCTTGCAACAGCTACTTCCTGAGCATGTGGCTGCGAGCGCTCGCAGCTCGTCTACAAGGTCGACGCGTGCAGCCTGAGAGCGGCAAGGAATGCGCGGAGACCTTGACCTGAGGACCTCGACAGCCGATGCACATGCTGCACCCGTTTCCTGCCACGCCTGCAGCCTTGAGAACTGAAGGCCCCCCCGGATATCCGAATTCCAAGCAGGCACTCAAGCTCATGGAATTTCATGCGGGTGCTTCCGGACCTGATTTCTTCTATGCACTTGGTCTGGAGGGCGAAGCTCTCGAAAGCAAGCACGACACTCTTCCCGCTCTGCCTCTGCGGATGCTCCACCTCCTTGTCACAGAGCCGATTGCTGAACAGCTCTGCTTCTCAAAGCGATTGAAAACTGTCGGATCCTCGCGGGGTGCCGTAGATTCCGTAGTCAAAAGGCGGTGCCTCACACACCCAGGCAAAACAAACTTTCCATGGTAGCTTCGAGAAGACCTGCGTCTGATCCGAGGCTGCGGGGTCTGCGCATATGTACCGGAAAGCGTAGAACCTGTTCGCTCGGAGCAAATCGCTCAAGTGACGACTCCGCGACAGTTCAGGATTGAGGGCAAAGCTGCTCGTAAAAGTCCGCGACGGCGTGCAAAGACTGGTTGACCGCTGCGTATGGTGCGACGATCTGCAGAGAGAAGTGAACTGAAGCAGCAAGGAGTTGCACATCGGCATACTGAAGCACCTTCTCCAAGCAGCCGAGGCCTGGAAAAGGCAAGGTTGTGGCATGGTGCACCAGTACAAGCAAAACCAAGCTGTGTATAGCAACAGACGTCTGGCACACGTCCCACCCCGCCTTCATGCAAGCTCAAGCTGTATGCGCCATCAAAATTGATGCTTTGCACAACGACAGACCTGAGCAAAGACTATGAGATACAGAAACGTGGTGATTTCTAGGGTGACTTTGGTCCGGGCTGTCGAAGAGAGTCTGGTCTGAACACACAGGACGCCAAAGCCTCAACGACGGACGCGTCGAGCCGCAACTGTTATGTTCGAGTTGGAATTCGAAGCCGAGGTCCGAAACATGTTGAGAACTGTGCTCTAAATGTACGAGACAAGCTTCTCAACATCAATTTGCTCCGTAGTTCCTCCGCTGGCTAGGCCAAGTGGAATGCACTTTCCTGGACTCCGAGTCCGCCGAAGAACAACATGATGCCGTGCTATATACACTGAAAGGCTGCCGGCAAGATGCAGACAGCAGGCTGTGACTGTTGCTACCGTGGGCAGACCTCCATCCGACAGCAGCCCCGAGACTGGCTTGGCCCTCATGCATTGTCGGAGGAAATGTAGGCGCTCCAGGGCTGTCTTGGTTTTGTCTGCTGTCGTTTCAACTGCTGAGTGCTCCCCCCGCTCCCCCGTGTCCTTTTGCGAACATGAACAGCTTGTGTAGAATCTGGCTAGTAAGTCTCTTCACACGGTGGGTCTTGTAGGCCTAGACAAAGTGTGTCCAAAGAGCTTCATGCATCTCTCCATCACAGGTTCTGACTGGAGCTTTATGTTCGCGTGTCCTGATTAGTTTGGGTCCTCCTACTGCATTAGGCTTCTCAGTGACGTGTGCAGTCGTGCTTTGTCATGCAAGGAACATCCAGTCCCAACACGCTTCGCAAGGCTCGCAGCGGGCTTGCTTGACAAACTCTTGATCATCCTCCTCCCTGTCCTGCTCCTGCTGGTTTTGCTGCTCCTGCCGCTAGTCCTCATCATCATCAGCCTATGCAGTAGCGACAGCCTAAGATGATAACACTGTGTGCAGCATGAGAAACATCATGCTAACGACAACCATTTCATGATGGGACAAAGTAGACAATGACCATCGGCTAGAGTAAGCAGACCAGAGCGAACTTCAGTACAGCAGCATAATGAGATGAAACTCAGATGATGTAGACCATGGCGCTCACGAGCAGACCACGAGGACAGCATCCAGAGAACACCAGAAGAACATGAGAAGACCACTACGAGCACTGCGACCAGAAAGACAGCGCGAAGACAAGGAACGACAACGACCAGGAGACGGCCATGAGACCGCCAAGAGACCACCATCACCAAGAGACCACCAAGAGCACGAGACCACCAGGAATCGAAGGGACCAGCAGAACTCCCAAAAGGAGCGAACAAATATTGGGGTTCGAACCTAGACTTTAGACACGGGCGAAAAGCGAAGCAAGATTCCCATGATTGGCATGGCATGTGCTCGATCCTTTCTAAAACCTTCGCACTGGCGATCACCACTACTCGTACCGAGGCTTTAAGCGTCTCGAATCGCTGCCAGGGGACCGAAGTCACAAGCTGCAGAAGCAGCCATGAATGGCTGGGCCAAGCCTGTTAGGGCATGTGAGCGCCTAAAGTCTGACAAGTCAGTTAGTTGGGTTACAAAAACTGTAAGTAGTTGTCGAGGCATCGGCCGCCACACGGGCCGCCGGCATTCCTTTCAGGGCTGGTTACCATCTGCCATGGCTCGAACTAATTCGGTTGGGATGTTCACATCATGGCCATATCCTGAGCGATGATACAACTGAAACAATTAATATGCGACGTTTGTGCTACACCGGACACTTCGATTGTTCCGACTGAAGTGTGGCTGAAGCGGCTGAGGGGGTGGGACGGGGTGGGACTGGGACAACCTCCGGCCTACCACGTGGAGCTGGATCATGCCTACTGGTCACGTTTCGCTGGCAGGACGGCATGGACTCAACTTGGAAGCAGCTCGCACCATCAAGAAAGCAATGGAAACGTCCGACAACCATTGCTTGTGGTGCATCCATCATTGCACGCCATGAGCACACGGAAGGAGTGCAAGGTTCGTGCCTTCAATGTCGCGGCCACCTGGGACTTCGTCCTCTTCAGAGGGGGTTCGCTGTCTTCGTCCTCTTCGGTCGGTTTCGAGACCTCCAAGCAGTTTATGGCCGACAGGCATGGGTATGAAACAAGTTCGAGCATGTTCGGTACGTTCACTTGCCCGAAGGCAGTACTGTACTTCAAGAGGGTTGTCTGAAGAAAGCACTGATTAGATACGCCCCCGTCTTGTCCAAATGCATTTCGGTTGATCTGGCATTGTCAAGCACGCTTTTTTGAGACATCTCGTTCGTGGAATTATCACTATGTGCACAGTCTCATCTGGTGGAATTTCTCCATCCTATTTATGCCGGTGAGATGCAGAACCCCGGTGTCAGGATGCGCAATGATTGGCATGCTTGGATCTTCAGGGGTGTATACGAAGTCTGTCGCTCTGGAAACGAATGTGTGCGGAAGAGCGACGACCTTGATTCCACCACAGATGCCAACCCTGTTTTCAAGGTCGGTTCCAGTCCATTGGCAGCCTTTGCGATCCAGTGCAAGGTTGAGAAGTACCTGGCAAGACTGCTTGTCCGTCGGGACAGACAATAGGTCATCTTCAAACAGCCTGAGCACACTTTCAGTGTATCTGTACATGATGAAGCCAACATTCAATACGAAGCCCCATTTGTCTGCAATCTTTTTCGGATCCCACTCCGTGCTGGATGATGCAATGATGTCGGCATCCGGATACTGCTGCAAAACTTGCGATAAGTTAGAATCAGGGCTGCGTAGCCACAGTGCATCAACATCCAGATGCAGCACCGACTTTTTCTGACTTAGTGTATCCCAAAGCATCTTGTGGTAGGTCTGAATGTAGTTGCTCCTCGGGAAGCCGGAAGCGGCAGAATGCTCACTTCGAATCATCTGCCTGTGTCCGGTGTGTGGTTGAACAAGCTTCATCTCGCCATCGGTCGAAATGGATACATCCATGTGTGTCGCTTCGATGGCTCTGTGGTCGAGAACATTGGTGATACTCACGCTGTCCACTTTGTTGCCTAAGTTCTGGCGCCAAAGCTCAGCCTCTGCACAAGATGCATCATCCATGCAACCAACTTGCAGGGAATGTGAGGACGCGCTTTTCTCAAACCATTGAAACCAGCACTTTGCCATGGGCAAGTAGTGACCATCAAAGACCAGAAAATTGGTCCATCGGTCTTCAGCACTGCATACGGGCAGGAATGGCAGGAGCTTCAAAAGCATGGCGGCATTAAACAAACGAAGAGGAAGAGTGGGTTAGATGGACAACACATAGATTAGCGATAGGCGACAGCATCCTGAGCCAACATGTCACATCAAAATTCCATTCAAACATGTCGCCTTCAAGTCATCCAGACGACTTGCAGCCTCGAAGGCACCAGCGCCTCGCCGTCCATCTCCTGGTCCGTGTGGCTCACGGTGGACTCATCGGCTTCCACTTCGAACTCACCCTTGACATCTCAATTTCCCAAACGGCATTCTTTACGGCTTTACGGATCACATACATGGCCGATGCAGTCCTGCGACTGCTCGCGCTTGGTGGGCACGAGGAGGGGGGCTGCGTCCTTGGCTAAGACACAAGCAAGCACGAACCCGCATGTGTGGCCAAGGCAGACAGCCGCGCTCCTCTGCAATACGCCGCAACTGTCCCGCCAGGATCCAACGTCCGGCCACACCGGCCAGGTCACCCTCCTGGCAAACAAGAGAAGCTCACACGAAGCTACATGCGTGCTATCGCTACCGTACCTCCGGCGGAGCTTCGAGGACTTCCCGCACCTCGGCTGTTAGCCGAAGGAAAGCGCAAACAGCAGAAGCCCTCGAGATGGTGAGTTCAGCACGATTTGCTGAAGCTTAGCGTATGCGGCCTCGAGGGCCGCCTGAGGGACAAACAAAACACATCCTCGGAGTTTATGTCTCCTCTCCGTGACTCCGTGAGCTCAGAAACATGCTGTCGGGTTTCGCGACAGCGATTTTCCAAACTCCTTGCAGCGACTTCCGCGAGGCTTTCCGGCACACTACAGTAGCCACGCTGATCCTTCCCGTCCCGTCCAGCTGGGCTTCGCAGCAAGTCTTCATGAGCTCATCGATTCGCACCTTGCCATGTCCAACACAGTGCAATTCGGCAGAGGATGATGCAAAACCACCAAGGCAAAGCCCCGGCATGAAGCATGCCATGCAGAAGCAACTGTTCTGCGTTTGCTGATAGGATCCCGGAACATGATGCAGGAACGGGACCCAGTGTTTCTCTTCATGAGTGGGGCGACGCATGTCAACGCTTCATATCGTCGATGCAACCACCACAGTGGCAGCAATTGAAGTGCGGATGACTGAACTCAAGACTTCTGCAAATGCAACCATCTGTGATATCCTCCAGCCGAATGTCAGCAATAACAAACGTGATGGAGCATGTTTCCAAGGTCTTTTATGGCGTCGGGCTTGTTTTCAGCTTTTGTTTGTTGATTCCCATCCAGTCGCATGCACGCGTCGCAGGCCTCTGAGCAGAACTCCGTTCAGATTTAGAGGACAAAAAGCCAGACCGCGCTTGACGCTTCCTTGAACTCATGGGGAACAGGTTGTACAAAGCAGTGTTTTTCAGGATTTGATGTGGCCACATACATGTCCATACCAATGTGTCGCATGCCAGCTGGACAGGAGGATGCTTCGCACACGCACTTGCCTCGGACATCCCGTCTGCATACTCACCATCTCCTGCAGCAGTCCGCAGACTGTACTTAGATGCCAACTTGCATGGTGATGTGTCTCTACGAAATAAGATATATTACATCATCAACACCTTCAATTGAATCGAGCGGCAGTCACAACGATGTCTTACTTACTATCCCATGTTGGGCAGCCTGTCTGTCTCTCAACAGTGTTTGTTTTCTGAATACGACATACCGTCGGAAGAGTGCTCGAGCATGCCCACCGGACCGCTACAGCAACAGGGCTTTTTTGCCAAGGAGTGTTTGAAAGCATCACCACTCAGTTGATCACAGCGAGTCCTGTCAGAAAAGATGCGTGCACCAGCTCGCGCACAAAATCCAAAGGATTCCTTCGCGGGTCCTCGGCAAAATGAGAGAAAAGCCCCTCCGGAGACGTTGCAGACGGCAAGGTAAGGCTCCCGCAGGTAAACCCTTCCCCTTGAATTCGGCATCGGCTGCAGCCACCTGAGCGTGTCAAGCAAAACCCGTTCCTTGCCAGTGCTCATGCCCAGCTCACAACAATCCGATCATGCTTCTGGCCACTTTCTGCTCTCATGGTGCTGTCGAGCTTGTGAGACTTGCCGCAAGGCACGCCTGCAAGTCAGTGTCCGTTAC